ACATTCGAATGTTTACAATACTCGATATCCATTTTATTTAAAATTACAGTCAGTTGGTTTTCGTTGAAATTCTTGCCGGGCTAGTTTCCACGCACCGACGTCAAGAATTTGACGTCGTCGTTACGACGTTAACTTTATCGCGGTTAATTAATAGTTAACGCCGACCGGAAATTCTCGAAATTGCTGGGCGAACGTCGGCGCGGCGTAACGGGGCGGAGGGAAAGACAAAACTGCTTTATCCTTTAGCGTCCAGAGTCACGTTATTTCCAGTTCGGTGACGTACGGGCGTGCATGAGTTAATTTCACGTTTAATATGGTGCAAAGGGCACAGAAACGTGATTATGTAACCTCGCCTACCAAGGTACAATAATCTCGTACCAAACGACGAGAATGTGTTTCCCAGAAACGTGTTTACTTTGACCTTACAACGTATAATACAACAATAGGGATTCAAACAATACCGCACTTTCAACCTTTACCGTTCACCTTTACCATGAGAAAAGATGTTACATCTTGTATTTTACGTTCCAAAATGCCGACTAAAGCGAGCTCGTACCGAAAATTAACCAACATTTATTATTTATCGTGCTATTTTTAATTTGTTACGTTTACATGTTTTTAATCTTATGTTATGTTATAAAGTCAGTTTATTCAATCCTTGTAGATTATCGTAAATTGGAAATGAACTTACGGTTGCTTAACCTTTTGAGGGACGAATTTTAAATGGTTTCGTCTGGATCTAATTGATCACGCACAAACCAAAGCAATTCTTATATGTAAATTGATTTTACATATTTTAATCCTAAATGACTTTCAATCGAATGAATTTAATTCTAAGTTTTAATCCTAAATTATTTTGTATTATCGTATCGTCTAAATTGGCAGTTCTAAATAAATATCTTTTCAACGAACACTTTATCGATTGATGTTCAATAAAATAAATAATATTTGACTACTTTGTAAAAAAGAAAAATGCGCGACAGGTCTTCACGTGCGATAACCGATAACCCTGTTGCCTAGATTGAAAATTCTAAATAAATTGATTTCCAAGAAATAGTTCATTGGTTGATGTTCAACAAAATAAATATAATTTTTTTTACTTTTGTATAAAAAATTAAAAATGCACGATAAGTCATTTCATGCGGGAAGTACGTGGATAATTTAACATCGTCTCATTAATTTTACAGAAATAAGTTAATGAAAAGACTATTTCAATGTGGAAGTGTTTTTAGTCATTGTAAAAATCAACATTACACAATTTCTTCCAATATTAGTCATTTAATTTAATTTAATTAGAACAGTATTTAGTATGTTTATGCTAAAATTGAATTGAGATGTTCTTGGTGGTAACGCAAGCAATTACATTACTCAATTAACACATATTTATGTCTAAACATTTATTTGTTATTTTTACATTTGAAGACTTTTTTTAAGTGAAGTACGAACTTACAATCGGTACTTTTGATCTGATGCGAACTGAATCGAAACAAGCGAATCCTTGATGATTATTATTTCAAATGTGAAATGAAATCGATTCCTTAATTATATGTATTTCATTTTAAAACCAAATAGCCATAAATGATGTACACGCGATGACGTACAACGAACTGCATTCAAAGCTTTGTAATTATGCGACCTGGGTACCAATCGTATCGAAGACCATTATTTCCTTCATTATATTGGGTGTAATGCATATTTCGCAATCATTTATTTACAGTTATGTCATTTAGGAAGACACCACCAAAAAATTGAAAGCTTTCAATTCGTGATGTTACATTTCACCAATAATATTATTTGTATATCGTTAGACTAGGGACATTTATGCATCTATGAAAATGATAAATATATAAAAATATACATGGATGTACGTGAATTCAATGACATAAAAAATATAAACAAAATAAAATAAAATACACGTTACAACGTTTAAAAGAGAAAACATACGTTAAGTTTCAATTTTGATTCTGTATCTACGAAAATATGAATATGCATTAACCATCCGCAGTCTACATGTTACACGTGTTTTGTAATTATACATAAAAACTCATTTTCATACTGTATATATTTTAATTTTAAAAGGTATCACGAATAACAATGATATATTAGCATTAAAGCAAACGCACACATATGTATACGTAAAATATATCCCTCGAGAGAATAGAGTTACAAAAAAAAACAATATAAAAGCACAGAATTAATTTCTACACCTACGTAATATAATATTTCAATCGAATCATCAAAGGGTTCAAGTACCTCCTGCTTTAATCTTTCATTCGAATAAATCATCATCGATTGGTGTTATTCGTTGTTTATCGTTCGAATAAAATCGTGCCTATCACCGTGAAACGTTTAAGTGACCGTTTGCCGATTCCGTCATCTTTTCTGGATTTCGCGAAGTATTAAAAAAAAAAAAAAAAAAAAAAACACGTCAGTTTACGCGAGAAGAAGACAGGTTAGCCTAGCGCTCACTGATTTCGATATTTGGCGCGTCATCCTTTCGTACACGCGCGCGAGACTCGTACTAGCCTTTTATTACGCGCTTATTCACGTTCCCATCACGTGAAAGGAACGTTTTTTTTCCCCCCTCTGATTTCCATACTGCATATTTAACGCGACTGCTACGTATTGCGTTCACACTTGGTAGTCCATCCTCCTTCCTGGCTCTTCCCCTTTACTTAACCGACGGATGCTCACTCGATGCTTTTACAATAAAAATAGGAGCGAATTTTGTCAGCTTGCAGGTCTGTTCGATATCTTTATAAAATTATAAAGCAGGGCCGGTTTCAAAGATTTCGCAGGGCCTGAATTCGCATTCAAATCCTACGCTTAAATTTCACAACGAGAAATTATTTATTTACAAATGCTATATATTTTTTTATAAGATGAATATTAAATAACAATAGTTTGATGATTTTTGTCTTTCGATGATGATTTTGTCCTTTCAATTTAATCATCGCTGCTGCAAAAAAAGTGTCTGGCATCTCGCAGCAAAAATTGCTTCCATTTGTTAATGGCAATCACGTGAAAATTGATTCCCGATCACGAATCCAACGGACGCAATCAAGCGTTGATAACTTAATAGAAGAATTCGGTTCGGTTGTTATCCTTGCCACAGATTACTATCAGTCGATGCGTGACTTAACGATCGCGTTTATCTCTTGGTATTCTCCCTTTTATGCCAATCAGTTTGTTCAATGGCAGACACTGATTTCTGGATTCATTTTTGTTCGGTGGTTTTATTGGTAAAATTTTATGTGGAGGTATGATGTTATACGAAATAGTTGTACAGTAATTGTGGTTAGATCCTGAGGGAACCAATGATCAGTTAGAATTTGATGTTTGCTTTCCATATACTGCAGATTATGTTTTCAGGGGTTTTGACTGTGCAGCAAGTGAAGTTAGCTTTTAACAGGATTTTTAGTTACACAGTAATAGGTGTTATTTTGTGAAAGCACCTTTAGCTATGTAAGAATGGGTTTCAGCAATAAATACATGCATAAAATGAATCCATTAAATAAATGTCTGAATAAGGTCATGTATAGTGTACTGCTAGTATACATACGCATATAGTATATATACATAAAATGAATACATCAAATAAATGTCTCGATAAGCTCATGGATAGTATAATACTATTATACTATATTATTGAGTCACTTGTTTAATGTATTCATTTTATAAGATCATGTATAGTATACTACTAGTATACTACTAGTATACTATACATGACCTTATCGAGTCATTTATTTAATGTATTCGTTTTATAAGATCATGTATAGTGTATATAGTATAGTTAGTATAGTATATATATATAGTATAGTATATAGTATAGTATAGTATAGTATATATATATAGTATAGTATATAGTCTGGTATAGTATAGTATATAATATAGTATAGTATATAGTATATAGTATATAGTATAGTTACTATTATACTATATTATTGAGACATTTATTTAACGTATTCATTTTATGTATGTATTTATTGCTGTGTAACCCATTGTTAGCTAAAAGTGCTTTTACAAAATAACACGCAATTCCACTGATAGCCTTGATATACAGTGACAAGAATTTGCCCTTTTAACGTAACTGGTATAAATAAATTCGCAGAATTTCTGGGTCATGCGTGGCGAGTTGCTCGTAAAAATTGTAACGATCGTTGTAAAAATGTAAAAAGAAACCTTCCTTCGAATTCTTCCGGGTTTAACGGCCGAACGTGTCCAAGGCCACTCCTCTCGATCACTTCTTACCTTCCAGCCAATTCAGCAGGAATTTAGTTTCCGCTTTATCTGTAGTTATTCACCGAGTTATCGGAAGATTCTAGATTAGATCTGTATGATTACGAAATATCTTGACTGTTTTCCTATGGAATTTTTCCGAGCAAGTTCTTGCTACTTTTATTTATTTTCTAACCAAAAAAAAAAAAAAAAAAACAAACAAGCAAACAAATACGAGCATTAATTTAACAGCGAAGGTTAAGTTTTGAGCGAAAGCGTTCGCTTCCATTTTCACACATTAAATTCTGAAGTATTGATTAAACATTTTGAGAAATTCTTGTAAGTATAGTTTAAATTATTAGAAGCCATTTGTAGCAATTGTCTGAATTACAAAAACTTATTGTTAGCGAATATTATATTATACAAATATTTTAATGAATCCAGGCTCGAAATCTTTCATATCTAACGTAAGATACTTCCATTTTATCGCGCTAACATTACTTGGTAATGCCAACACTTCCTTATTAGGCATGATAAACTCGTCGATCAAATTCGTCGCTTTTGGTTCCAATTCTTACGCTCAATTAGAAACTCCTTAGCATAATTACAGTTTAAAAGAGTTTTACAGTCTCGTATAAAAATCACAAGGCCTCGGAATTTTTTTGTGTTATCCTCTACGTAAAACGAAGTCACAAAAGTTAAATTTAATTAGAATTCATAATTACAATTAAAAGATGTATTCAAAATAATTATTAGTTAGTTTACTTCGCCGCTCTATTTTATTTTAATTACTTACTTCATGTATGTAGAATGAAATCGCAAAAATTAAATTTCAATCAATTAAATACAAAATAAAATTGTTCATAGGAAATGTATACTAGGTGCGACTTTTGTTTCATTGCATATTCGGTTTTTCTTTTTTTTTTTTTTTTTTTTTTTTTTTGTTAACAAAAAATATCTACCGAACATGTTTTGCTTACTTTTAATAACATTAAATGACGGCGAATTAATGTTTTCAATGTTTGCTTGATTACAGGAGCAACATCTCTCTGTCCTGTCATAGTTTGTGCGGGAGCTTTGACGATGGCCTCCAAGGATCGCATCCTCAATACCAGGACACGATCCTTACTATCGAGGAACTTCGTGCGCAACTGAACTCTTGCTTCACGTGAGTGTCGCTGCACGATTTTCTTTTTCCTTCGTCCCTGTTGGTTCAATAATGGCTCGTGAAATTTACCACGAAATTGAAATGGAAAAAATAAAGGGGAATAGGAAATAAGAAACCGAGAAAGTAAGCAAGAGATTTACTTTTTTTCGTTCAAATGTTTGAAGTCTTTAAACCCTCGATTGGTTCCATTGCGTGAAAGTATAAGTTCGTTGATGTCTTAATTATAGTGGAATTTTCACGTAAAAAATTCAAAACGTCAGCTCGGCCAAATTAGACAGTCTTCTTATCGGAAATGTCTTAATTAATTACAATCAATACATTTTTACTGTCTAATATTGGGGGCCTGTGTATAAATTTTAACAAGTTGTTTATCTGTTACGTGAAAAAAAACGGTCGCTATTAATTAATTAATACTTCTTCGTAGTCTTAGTC